AATTAGGAAAGAACACACTTCTATTTATTTTATTTGATGTACTTTACTCTTTGCCTCTGGGTCTCTGAGTCCATGGACAAAAACACAAATTCAATACTTTAAACACAAGCATCTTATTTGTAATGAAAAAAGTCAGTCTTTGACTGTCCTCTAGGCATGGTGTAACATGAGGGTAGATATTTTTGAAATATATGTGTTGGTTTGTAATCCTATAGTTTGTTATTATTTGTAGGACCAAATGCTGATAGTTTTGCTCAATTAACTAAATCTACTTCTACTACTAAAATGGACAAGTAAGCAGTATTTAGACTTCGTTTGCCTCCATGGAAAAGAAAGTACATTTATTTCTTTTTTATTCACTAAACAAACATGAAACACTGACCCTGATTGCAAAATGTGTATCTCTTTTTTGATAGACCTATTAGATTACATTATACAGGCTTCTCTCATGGCTTCAGTTTGGCTAATATAATTATTATAAGGTCTGAACAACAACAACTACAAAAGAAGTAAAACTAAATGTGAAAATAATAATGTGAAACCTAGCCAGTTACTACTTAGGAGGTTCAGAAATCAAAATATTAGTCCTGCCACACAGTGCTACACAAAGGGGTGGAATAGCAGACAAATGTTGGAACTGTAGGGGGCAGTTTATATATGGTGAGGAGCTGTTAGCAAAATTTCAGAAAATCACTGTGAATTGGCTGGTCTGAATGATTTTTTGGGCTGGAGCAGAAAAGTTCTTCCTTATCATTTGGTAATTAGCTATGGATTATTAGGGCAGATGCATAGTGGGTGCAGATTATGAGAGCCAGGTAAAATAAGTGATTAGAATGTGAAGTTAATCAATTGCTCAAGAAGTGGTACTGACTACCCTCTAGACAGAAAACCCACATGAAACAAATATATATATATATGTATATATATATATGTATTGATGAGTTATTGTATGGTGAAGACCCTCCATAGGCCTTTTCTCAGTCTTCTTTCTTTTCACCAAAAGTATCCACTATCTTCACCATTTAGCAATTATTATATTGTTTATTTCTGGCTTTATTACATGAATATATCATGTTTAACATTACACTCATGCCCAGATTAAACTCATTATGTATTTTGGGTTTCTTATCATTTACAGGTTCCTCCTTCATTTCTTTATTTTTCTTAGATTTTCTGTGTTCAAAGACTGGGCCATTTGAACTATTCCATGGTTAGATTTTTTTTGCTGAATTCTCTCTTTCAATATAATTTAAAACTTTTTTTCTGATTTTTATATCACCTGAAAGCAATCAGCTAGATCCAGAGCTTTGATCATACTTAGATTTAATTACTTTGGCAAGATAATGGATGGTTGTGCATCTTATCATCAGGATGAAGCATGGTAGTTAATTTTGTGCTATATTGAACCATTCTGGTTCTCTTAGATCTTTCTGCATCCCACTGGCATCTCAGCTTTTTTTTTTTTCTTTTGTGGATATTTTGAATCTATTTAGTGCTAGATTCCTTTACTTAGAATTTCTGCAAATGTAGAGATTGCCTCAAGATACAAACTTATTGGACTTCCTTTATCTTATCCTGGTCTACCCAAAACAAAGCAGCAGTACTTTTTGAAAGCTTTTTTCCTCTTCATTCCAGCATCTTCTTGCTTTAGCTACAATTTATAGCTATCCTGTAGATTTCTCTAAAATACAGTGTATGTATGCCTTCTAATTAATATTGCCACCCATTTAGTTCAATGCATTTTAGCAAAAGGTTAGAACATACAGGAAACAAAAGAAGGGGCTTTGTGGGCCAGTGCTGTGGTGCAGAAGATAAAGCTACCACCTCCGATGCCAGCATCCCCTATGGGCACTGGTTCATGTCTCAGCGCTCCGCTTCTAATACAGCTCCTTGCTAATGCCCTGGGAAAGCACCAAAGGATGGCCCAAGTGCTTGGGTCCCTGCACCCACATGGTAGACTTAGGAAGAAGTTCCTGGCTTTGATCTGGCCCAGCCCGCATCTTTGCAGCTATTTGGGAAGTGATCCAGCCATAGGAAGATTTCTCTCTCCCTCCCTTCCTCCCTTGCTCTCTCTCTCTCTTTCTCTCTCTCTTTCTCAGTCTGCCTTTCAAATAAGTAAATAAATCTTTGAAACAAGAAGGGGCTTTGGATATGATTTTTTGTTTATGAATATCTCATCTTCTAACAAAATTTAAAAATCTGAAAGATGTAGCAATTTTGCATACTGTAAGAGAAAGTATGTGGCAGCAGGAGCCACTTGAGGCAGGGTTATAAGAAGAATAGGAGTTCATTATTCCAATCATGGTGTAGTAACTAGGAATCAAATTTATTGTCTCAACATAAATGATGTAGAAAACTATTCAAACTGCATGGAATTGTGGTTTTCAGGTATTGAAAACAAGCAACAAAGGACTAGAATCCCAAGAGAATAAAATAAACTAATGAAATGAATCCTGTATTGTATCTTCTGCCTGGTGGCACTTACAAGATCACAAGAGCAGGAAAAGGAATCCCCACTTCCACATACACCCCTAAGCAGAGCCAGCTCACTGAATTGAGGAGGCGGGATTAGGAATCTGGAGGATAATCTGGAAATAAATTTATGGAGAACACAATAGAAAGGAGAGCAACATAGAGTTAATAAGTCCCCTTGTGTTTACTATTGCATTCTAAATATTGCATACATAGGGGATAGGCCAAGCCCTTTCAGGGAAGTATATGCCTGATTAGGACATAGAGGTACTTCTGATAGGTATCTCCTTGTGCTCTGAAGTGTACAGTCTTCATCAAATACTGGGACTCATACGTAGAGAATCCAGAGAATTATACTTTAATAGCAGAGTTAGTATCCTTCCCTAACAATGTTTAAAATAAGCCAAAAGGAGGATCTGTGTTTGGCACATTGTCCCATATTAGAGTGCCTGAATGCAAGTCCTGGTGCTGCTCCTGGTTCCAGCTTCTTACTAATGCACACCATGGGAGCAGCAAATGATGGTTCAACTGGGGGGACTAGATGGAGTTCGTGGATCCTGATTTTGTCCTGGCCCAGCCTCAGCTGTTGCAGAGATTTGCAGGAGTGAACCAGTGGAGGTACAATCTCTCCCTTGTCTGTTTCTCTCTCTTTATCCCTCATAAATAAAAATAAATTAATAAAAATTTTAAAATATCTATTTTTTAAATAAATACGTGGAAAGGGATAGAGCAGACCAACAAGGAGACTAATTTCATGTTGGACTAAAATTCAACCATCTTGAAAGAGGAAACAACAAAATATTGATTGCCATCAGTCAACCAACAAGTATACAACATCCAGCATTCAGTAAAAAAAATTATGATATGCAAAGTAAGGAAAATGTAAGTCATAACTAGAAGAAAATCAGTAGGTATAAATAGATCCATGTAGGACAGAGGTGATGGGTTTTGACAAATATTTCAGTTCTAAAGATCCAAGTGGCACAAGAAACCTGAAGTAGGAGAATCATTATTCTTAGTCATTTAAATTTAACTGAAAAGTGATCCCTGTTAAATGTAAGAGTGGGAGTAAGAGAGGGAGGAGATGTACAGTTTGGCACATGCTCACTTGGACTTACTCCTAATTGTAAAGCTAGAAACGTACCAAGGGATTCCAATTCAATCCCATCAAGGTGGCATGTACCAATGCCATTTTACTTGTTAAAGTGATCAGTTTCAGTTCATAATAGATGACAATGATAGGATTAAGTGTCAAAGGGATTGCATAAAAAGACCAGTGTCTGCAAATAACTGATAGAATTAAAAAGGAGAGAATGATCCTTCATGGGAAGCAGGATACACAGCAGACTGATAGAATGGCAGATGTTTTAAACAGCACTCTGGCCTCAGATTTAGCCCTTAAGGCATTCGATCTGGCTAAAAAGCCCATGAGAGTTTCACAGGCATGGAAAGACAAGATATCGTGGCAAAACAAAATTGACCTAAATGAAAGATCTCTGTGACTGAGATCTCAGTGGAAAAAACAGACCATCAAATAAGGCAGTACCTTTTTCTGAAGGGAGGAGAGAACTTCCACTTTGAATATGGCCTTGTCTAAATAAGATCAGAGTTGGTGAACTCAAGAGCCTTCCATAGCCTTGGCAGCTCATGACAAGATCCTCCGGTGATTACTGACTTCATAAATGAGAGTGTCAGTTGTTAAATCAACAATGGCAGTCACTGTGCACTTACTCCCCATGTAGGACCTCTGCCCTTAATGTGTTGTACTATGCGAATTAACGGTAAAACTACTACTCAAACAGTACTCTACTTTGTGTGTCTGTGTGGGTGCAAACTGTTGAAATCTTTACTTAGTATATACTAAGTTGATCTTCTGTATATAAAGATAATTGAAAATTAATCATGATGAAGAATGGGATTGGAGAGGGAGTGGGAGATGGGATGGTTGCAGGTGGGAGGAGGTTATGGGGGGAAAAGCTGCTATAATTCAAAAGTTGTACTTTGGAAATTTATTAAATAAAAGTTGAAAAAAAGTTTCTTAATGATTCTCCTACTTCAGATTTCTTGACATATCAACATCAGTTACTTAAACCATTAATAAAAAAATTTGAGGGGCTGTTGCTGTGGCATAGAGGATTTCTTTTTTTTTTTTTTCTTTTTTTTTTTTGACAGGCAGAGTGGACAGTGAGAGAGAGAGACAGAGAGAAAGGTCTTCCTTTGCCATTGGTTCACCCTCCAATGGCCGCTGCGGCCAGCGCACCGCGCTGATCCGATGGCAGGAGCCAGGAGCCAGGTGCTTTTCCTGGTCTCCCATGGGGTGCAGGGCCCAAGCACCTGGGCCATCCTCCACTGCACTCCCTGGCCACAGCAGAGAGCTGGACTGGAAGAGGAGCAACCGGGACAGAATCCAGCGCCCCAACCGGGACTAGAACCCGGTGTGCCGGCGCCGCAAGGTGGAGGATTAGCCTAGTGAGCCGCGGCGCCTGCCAAGGCATAGAGGATTTCTAAAAACTAAAATGGAGGCCGCTCCCCAGCCCCCTCCCCCTCGGATGTGGCTGGAGCTTGAGGCGCGCAGGGCCGGAGACGCTGCAGCCCCGCGACCCGGAGCAGCTCGGAGCGGTGAATAATAGCTCTTCAAGTCTGCAATAAAAAATGGCCTCCAATAAAACTACATTGCAAAAAATGGGAAAGAAACAGAATGGAAAGAGTAAAAAGGTCGAAGAGGCAGAACCTGAAGAATTTGTGGTGGAGAAAGTATTGGACCGACGTGTAGTGAATGGGAAGGTGGAGTATTTCCTGAAGTGGAAGGGATTTACAGATGCTGACAATACTTGGGAACCTGAAGAAAATTTAGATTGTCCAGAGTTAATTGAAGCATTTCTTAATTCTCAAAAAGCTGGTAAAGAAAAAGATGGTACAAAAAGAAAATCTTTATCTGACAGTGAATCTGATGATAGCAAATCAAAGAAGAAGAGAGATGCTGCTGACAAACCAAGAGGCTTTGCCAGAGGTCTTGATCCTGAACGAATAATTGGTGCCACAGACAGCAGTGGAGAACTGATGTTTCTCATGAAATGGAAAGATTCAGATGAGGCTGACTTGGTGCTGGCAAAAGAGGCAAATATGAAATGTCCTCAGATTGTGATTGCTTTTTATGAAGAGAGATTAACTTGGCATTCTTGTCCAGAAGATGAAGCTCAGTAATTGTTTGCATTTTTTTTATATATATTTTTATATATATATATATATAAAATCTGAGTCTTGGTTTTCGATTTACTAGTGTGAAGAAATAACTACATTCTAATGAAAATCAAGTTTGATACATTGGTTTTGAAAGTAGTATTGGGGGAGTTGTGAATTTTTTTATTTTTATTTTTTGCATCAATAGCACTGGTTACTTCTAACAGATAAAAGCTTTCTGTAGTTGCTTCCTTTATCAGAAAAGAACATTTGCTTTTCTGAATATTGGGGACAGTTGTCATAGTCAGTTCTTCAATCAGAACTTGATTTTAACTGATACTAAAGGACCATTCTGGGTTGTTGTATGTGTATACTTTTATAAATGGTTTTCTTTTTTGTTTTTGTTTTTAAATTTTACCAAAAGAAAAACCATGGGAAGACCCATGTTTCTGAGGTTCCATCATTCTGAGCAACCTAAGAAATAAGTCCCTTCAAGTTAAACTGAAGATTTTCATGAAGCCATAACCTTTTAAATTAAATAGTTTGTAAGTCATTTGGACAAGTTAAATTAGATAATTTAAAAGAAGCCATATCAGAACCTGTATCTAAATCTATAGTCATAAATGCAATGGCTTATAAAAACTTTATTGGTACTAGTAGTCATCCCTCCCGAGATCAGAAAATAGACATCCTGGTGTGCTGTAATAAACTAAATAAGCAAGGTAAATGGACATTTGAATATTTGTTCTGGCGAGCCATTACTTTACAAACGCCAAAATCCCTATGCTGTATCGACTAAAAGGCCATGATTCATGGAATGACTAAGATTTGGCTCCTGAAAACCTGATCAGATTGTTAGACATTGGCATTTTAGGACCTGCTGGCATAAGTGGGTAAACAAGTGGTTGTAATCTAAATTATTGACCTGCATGTTTTGTCTTTGTCCCGTCTCATTCCTTACATGTAGGCTCAATCTTCGCGGTGTTTGGGTTACTGGTTCAGCAGATGCCAGGAAAAATAACTTTGTAGTAATCAGAATGTTATCCAACTGTATATTGTTTACTTTATTGTAAATACTGGTGAACAGTGGTCAATAAATAGTTTTATATTCCTTTAAAAAAAAAAACTAAAATGGAAAAGGATAAACACCTGTACCTTTCAATCTTTATACATGTTTTCTTTAGGTCTATATAGACAAAAACAACAGAAATGCAAGTGCTTACTGATTTATTCAAGGTATACTTAGCTACTACATCTTTCCAGAAATGTTTCCAGGTCTTTAGAATATGCAGGTGAACAAAATAGATATTCCATTACTTGTGGAATTTATGCTGTAAAATTGAAGGGAGATGAAATAAACTGTAATTATCTTTAATAATCAAATCACACAGAATATTTAATGGTAAAGCACTAAAGAAAAAGAGCAGTGTAAGAGGAACTGGAGAGCTGGAAGCCTGGTGCAGAGGTTATCACTCGTAATGTCCATGTCCCATATTAGAGGTAGCACCATGGGGTTCAAGTCCCAGCTTCATTTCTAGTCCAGTTTCCTGCTAATTAATATTATGGGAGGCAATAGGTGTTGGATGAAAGTAGCAGGGTCCTGCTACCCACATGAAACAGCTGGATTTAGTTGCAGACCTTTGGTTTTGACCTCACCCATCATTGGCTCTTGCTAGAATTTGAGGAGTAAACCAGTGGTTGGATCAATCTCTTTCTCTCTCTCTTCCAATATGATTAATTATGGATTAATTAAAAAGAGGGGGAAAATTTCATGGGTTGGAGATATAGCTTATAATTTTAAATAGAGGTAATCATGTAGGCCTTAGTGAAATGATGACAATTGAGCAGAGCCTTGGAAGAAGAGACGAAGACCAGTTTAATGAGAGGAGAACACACTGTGCAAAGTCTGGTAAGTGTGACTTTCCCTGAAAAGTATTTAAGTGTAGCTTGAGTGTGTCCTCTAAGTTATATGACAAAATAATTGTCATGCAATTGACCACATAAGCAAAGATTGCATTTATAAAATAATTATAAGCCTTGATTTCTGTCCTTCAGTATGAAATACAGCTTGAGGTGCAGAACTATACTTAGGTCACAAAGGGAACTTCACGACTTGCTGTAGCTCAAGGAATTCCTCTTTTAATTCACCCAGTTAATATTGAACATGCATCCTAAAGGAGATACTAAATTAAGCACTGGAGTTAGAAGGCCAACATGGTTTGGACCTTTCCAAAAATTTAAGTCTATGTAAAAAAATAAGTGTTTTATATTATATATTAAATATTATGGTGATACATGTAAGATGCCATGAAATTACAGTTAAAATAGCAACTTGTTTTTCAAAGATGGAGATTCATAGAACTACCAGCTGAGATAAGCAATGGATTCCTAGAACTACAAGTTGAGATAAGCAATGGATAAAAATTAAATAAATGGAACTGGGGAGAGATTTCACTTAGCAGGAAGAACATGGGTAATGTTATAGAAATGTGAGAAGAGATGAAGAAAAGCTGAATGAAATTAGAGTGCATAGACATTGGTGGCTGAAAGTGATGCTCATCATGTATCCATGGGTTTTCTAGTAAATTTTTGGTGTGTCATGAAATGAAATAGTGCTTTCAAATGTTTGCTGCACATTACTGTAAGAGCAGGAAGTGGAAGCATAGCCTCATATATTATTTGGCAGGTGAAGGCAGGGGTGGGTAAGTTTTCAAACTTCTTCTTAATAATAAAGTTTCATAAGGCAATATATCACTTCATAAGACTAGACTTCTAGACTTCCTCTGATCCCTATTTTTCCCATATTACAATCCAGAACATACAGTTCCCTGAAAGTACACCCTTGTGCAGTGTAATTTCCCCAAGCCTTGTTTGCAAGCTGAGAAAACAGTCACAGCTAGCACCTGGAGTTTTTTTACTGATAATAGGAATATGCAAAATGCCATCCACGTGGTAAACCCAATGTAAATTTTGGATTTATAATTAATAAATGCTAATTTTCTGTGAGTCTGCTGTGTATTCTGCTTCCCATGTTGGATCCTTCTCTCCTTTTTAATTCTATCAGTTAGTATTAGCAGACACTGGTCTTGTTTATGTAATCCGTTTGACTCTTAGTCCTATCATAATGATCAATTATGAACTGAAACTGATCACTTTGACTAGTGAGATGGCATTGGTACATGTCACCTTGATGGGATTGAATTGGAATCCCTTGGCAGATGTCCTAAACAGCACTCCGGCCTCAGAATCAGCCCTTAAGGCATTCGGATCTGGCTAAAAAGCCCATGAGAGTATTGCAGGCGTTGAAAGCCAAGACACTGTGGGAAAAAAAATGACCTAAATGAAAGATCTCTGTGACTGAGATACCAATGGAAACAACAGGTCATCAAAGAAGGAGGTACCTTTCTCTGAAGGGAGGAGAGAACTTCCACTTTGAATATGGCCTTGTCTAAACAAGATCGGAGTTGGCGAACTCAAAAGGCTTCCACAGCCTTGGCAACTCATGACAAGAGCCTAGGGTGATTACTGATGCCATAAACAAGAGTGTCAATTTGTTAAGTTAACAACAGGAGTCACTGTGCATTTACTCCTCAAGTAGGATCTCTGTCCTTAATGTGTTGTTCAATATGAATTAACGGTATAACTAGTACTGAAACAGTACTTTACACTTTGTGTTTCTGCATGGGTGCAAACTGTTGAAATCTTGACTTAGTATATACTAAGTTGATCTTCTGAATATAAAGATAATTGAAAATCAATCTTGATGTGAATGGGATAGGAGAGGGAGAAGGGATGGTTGTGGGTGGGAGAGAAGTTATGTGGGTGGGGGGAAGCCACTGTAATCCATAATCTGTACTTTGGAAATTTATATTTATTAAATAAAAGTTAAAAAATGCCAATTTTCCATTCTACTTCATGTGTATTGTTAACATTTCAATATGATAAAGTTTCCATCCATAAAAATTAAACAGCAAACAACACCAAAACCCCTTAATACTCCATAGCTGTGTGTATCATTTGGCTTTCATAGGCTGCTGTTGATTTGAAGATATAAGGCACTGCAGCCTAAGAAACATAGTATATGGTGGAATTAATATTTTAAAAAAGAAAATTATGGAGCCAGTGCTGTGGCATAGTAGTCTAAGACGCTGCCTTCATTTCCAGCAACCCATATGGGTGCTGGTTCATGTTCTGGCTGCTCTTCTTCTGATCCAGCTCTCTGCCATGGCCTGGGTAGTAGAAGAAGATGGCTCTAGTGTTTGAGCCTCTCCACCTGTGTGAGAGACCCCAAAGAAGCTCCTGTCTCCTGGTTTTGGCTTGGAATAACACTGGCCATTGTGGCCATTTGGGGAGTGAACTAGCAGATGGAAGACTTTTCTCTCTGTCTGTAACTCTATCTCTCAAATAAACTTTTTAAAAATAAAGAAAATTATATGATAATATGCTGTAAAAATATGAAAAGTGTGTTTAAGATATGGGCGGGATTGAAGTCTCTATAAGGGATGAATTATGACTGAACATGGAAACAAGAGTTAATGATGAATGAATGGAGATGACAGATCTCAAAGTTTGCATTAGGTAATCAGGGAAATGACACCTACCAGAACATAAAACATCATAAGGGTGTCTGTTTTTAAACATGCTTTAAGAGACACAGACAAAGAAATTGGCCAGCTAGTAGATTCATCCAGGTATTCAAATATAAATTTTAAAAAGATGCCTAAAAGGGATAGATAATCGGCTCCACATTTTGATTAATCTCTACTGTGGTGATTTGGTAGTAAATAACTTCAAGTTTATTTTAAGCTCATGCAATTAAATCCAGAGGTGTCCAGAGTTAAGATTTAGTGCCATTCACATATTTCTCCTTTTGGATCTGAAGTTCATGATGAAAAACTTACCTTGTGTATTTTAAATTAGAAATACTTAAATCACTTAGTCATTACTCATGGCTTAAACATAGCTCACCAGCACTGTGGCATAGCAGGCAAAGCTGCAGCCTGCAGTGCCCGCATCCCATATGGGCACAGTTCAAGTTCCAGGTGCTTCACTTCCGATCC